ACCAGAACTGGTTTATACCTTTTCAATTAGTGATAACTGTAAGATTCATAATACCAAATAAATTTACCCTACTAAAAAACCAACTTGAAATTAGAATAAATTACTAACATCTGAAGATAGAAGAAAAATTAAAAAAATTATCTAAGGATCTTGAAAAGTTAGATAAAAAATTAAAGAAAAGCCTTATTGCCACTATTCAAATACACTCTAGTACTCAATTATCATATAGAACCCTCTATTATAACTATGAAAGAGTTAAAAAGAACAAAAATAACTACTAAAGAAATTATAATACTTCATATCCTCATATACTTATCTAATCCCAAAAGATGAACTTTTGTAAAAAACAAAATCTTTTTTACACTGATAGCTTTGAAGTCTATAATCTAGAAGAAGATATCAGTATAAAATATAGAAGAAAACAGATTAATAAAAGAATCTACTACAACAAAAATATTAGATGCTAATACCAATAATAAATCTGATCTAAAAAAGGAAATATAGAAGTTAAATATATAATTAGTAGTCTTGTCTTATCAACTGGAAGTACAAAGAAAAGTATTAGATCAAATCTGCTAAGATAGATTCTGAAAATCTAATTATATTAACTGTGAAAGAAATATAATCTAACCTAATAAAGAAAGATAAATTAGTATAAAGAAAATATCAGAATATCAAACTAGAAGAAAAGAACAAATAATATATCTTCTACCTTATATCTGAATAGGCCTAACAGACTAAGAGTACTATTCTGAAAACTTCTTAATTCAGATACTAAAGCTAGTTTAAGAAAGCTATAATGAAGATGAGAATTATTTACTAAAGATCTAGTAGGAAGACCTTTTTATTACTAAAATTATTAAAGAGTCTAAAGTTAAAGGAAAGAAAAAAAAAAAGAAAATATTAATATACTAGAGCAAAGAAGAAAACATAATACAGTAGAAGAAATTTAAAAGATTCAAAAAAAGATATATTCTCAACTGAAAATCTCTATCCTTATATAGTTCTGAAAAAACCAAATATGCAAGACTTTGATACTGAGAAAGTTCTACATCAAATTAATATGTCTAAAGATTATGATCAACCTAAAAAAGAAAAAAAAGATATTAATAATTTGTTCAAATCTAAGAACAAAAGGAAAACAAAGTTAATTAAAAACTTATCTATATGCAAATACTCTAAATTCTTTAAAAAACAAGACTACTAATTATATATTTAACTTCTATATTTCCTTTTTTAGATCAGATTTATTA